ATTCCACGAATACGTAGGTATCATTTGTACAACAGTAAATATAGCCTTTACCTACAGCAGTCTTGCACAAACTATGTAACTTAACTGCTATTGGCTATACATCATACAAAGTTGAGCGCCTTTTTTGCGAATTGACTCCGATACATTTCATCGCGGTGTGCAGAAGGTGAAAAATGAAATCTCCGTCTTTTACACTTCCACCTGTCTTCCACATCAGCTCCTTTCCACAGCTTGACGAAGAAGCTGTGAGTTGTTTCCTGAAAGTATAAAAGGACTGTTGTTGTCCACAAGGGTGCAAGGGTGCAATCTCCCAAAGATGAATATTTTCCATCCTCTATCTCGTCGAGCATCCCCATTCCGCGCATCGTCTTCTAGTAGTTTGAAACGTGGAATTGCGTCTGAGGTCAATATTGGATGTTTATTCCTTCCTAATCCCCATGACTGAAAGCAGATTTACAGGCTGTACCTCGTCCAGTTCCTTCAATTCCTTCGGCTCCGTCAACAAAATACAAAACCGCTACTCACAAAGTAGATTCAGCCCACATTTCTGAAAGAACACAAGCAACCCTTACTCGGGCAAAAGAATATATCTTGCCTGTGTATGCTAGGCCAGACTTTGTTCTCTCTCATGGGAAGGGTTCGTATGTTTGGGACACTGAGGGAAAGAAGTACCTGGATTTTAGTGCCGGTATTGCGGTTAACGCGCTAGGACATGCTGACGAGGGTGTATCTAAGGTTAGTTTTTCCTACCAATGCGTTCGACGCGATTGGTTTATCTGTTTAATCTATCTAATTATATTCGCGCTGCTACCGCGATCTCACAGGTTCTCACTGAGCAATCCCAAAAGCTACTACACACGAGTAACGTTTATCACAACGAATGGGCAGCCAAGCTCGCTGAGTTACTGGTGACATTAACTCAAAAAGAAGGGGGATTGGGATATTCTACTGAGAAATCTACAACGGATGGAAATACACCCGGTGTAAAGGTCTTTTTCTCTAATTCAGGTACTGAGGCCAACGAGGGTGCACTCAAGATTGCAAGGAAAGTGGGTAAAGACAGATGGGCAGCCAATGCATCGGGTCGTTCATGGGACTCGAAAGACTGTACCAAAACGCGTATTGCATGTTTCGAATCTTCGTTTCATGGTCGAAGCATGGGTGCATTGAGTGTGACTAGTACAGCGAAGTATCAGCTCCCGTTTGCTCCCCTGCTTCCAGGTATTGATGTCGGGAAGGTAAACGACTTTGATGGTCTATCGTCGCTCGTGGGCGAGGACACCTGTGCTGTGATCGTCGAGCCGATACAAGGAGAAGGTGGAATCAATGCGGCACACACGGAATGGTTGATTGCTTTGAGGAAACGCTGTGACGAGGTAGGGGCTGTATTGATCTTTGATGAAATACAGGTACGTTCACCCGGCCACGTCCGATGTCTCCATATGACTTGCTAAATACTACATGTAGTGTGGATTATATCGGACTGGAACTTTATGGGCCCATTCACCACTGCCCGTTGAATGCCATCCTGATATCGTGACCATGGCTAAGCCATTGGCAAATGGATATCCCATTGGAAGTGTTCTTATACGAGATTCAGTGGCTTCTACCATGACTGCCGGTAATTGTATATAGGCCCCCACACATCTGACACTGTTCCTAATCCTTCCTTATAGGAACACATGGAACGACTTTCGGTGGATCACCAATTGCTTGCGCAGTAGGTTTCCACGTCCTCTCTCGTCTCTCGGACCGTCCTTTCGTAGCCCAGATCGCCGAAACCAGCGCATACCTTTCCGGGCGGCTGTCCCAACTGCCGAAATGGTTCCCAGATATTCTCCAGCCCACGATCCGAGGCAAAGGACTAATTCTGGGATTGGGATTCAAGGATGAGAAGGACCCGGGTCGACTTGTGAGTTTGGCCCGGGAGCGAGGTGTGTTTGTGCTCACGGCGGGTAGAGATGCCGTCAGATTGGTGCCCAGTCTGAATGTGGGCAAAACTGAAGTGGATTTGGCAGTTGACGTGATTGAAAGTTGTCTTGGAGAAATGCAATGAACAGTCTTGGACGGCAGAGAACGACGGAGACGGAACTGACCACCTTGTTGCAAGTAAGCACAGTAATTAGGTCATGCTTTTCTCTGCTTTTCTATGTACTCAGAGCCTCGACCGAATCTGCTAATAATATCAACTACCTTATTACCGCGATTCAATGTGCCTTTCGAGAGAAGCACTTTCTATAAACTTCAATAAAGTTGCTATAAGAGGTTATCGGAGGCCGCCGGGACCCATTAGCCGAACCGGATGACATACACACCGCGTCTGATTGGTTGATTCAATCTTGGCGCTAGTATCATGATATAAATTACCCAACGACAGAATTGACAACTCACATTTTTTCTTGTCCCATACTTCACGATGGACAAACTCTCTACGCTTTCGCGCTTCAAAGCTTCGTGTCCCTTCTTGGGCAGGACCAAAACTTCGACATTGCGCAATTTGTGTACTTCGACTTCAACCCGCTTTCCGTCGATTTCCCTGCTCACCGAACGGGCCACGAATTGCCCTGTCATGGGTCCCGCATTGACCGTGCGCTCTAAGGAAATCGTCGCTGGCTATGCGAGCATGGCCGGCAACTCGGATATTGATCAGATCCATAGGGAGAAGGGAGTGAATGTTCCTGCTGATGCTTCTGTCGAGATGTGTCCCCATGCTTCTGCTGCCCGAGCTGCAGCACGAATGGCGGATGACTTGACCAACGCCGCTAAGAAAGACTTATCTAGCAAGGCTGCGGCAGCTGCTGGATGTCCTTTCCACAAGGCTGCTCTCGAGAACACTGCAAAGGCTGCTACCGTTGTTCCGCACCCGGTTCCCGCTACCACCGCTTCTACCTCGGCTAGTACCTCTGCTCATACCAGTGCCTATAATTATGAGTCGTTCTACCGAGATGAACTCGAGAAGAAACATAAGGACAAGTCTTACCGATATTTCAATAACATCAATCGTCTCGCGAACAAGTTTCCTGTCGCGCATACCGCCAAGGTTGAAGACGAAGTACAAGTATGGTGCTCGAATGATTATCTTGGTATGGGTAATAATCCAGTTGTCTTGGAGACTATGCAGTCAGTTCTTTCTGTCTATATTTTCTACTACATCTCTAAATATAGTGCGCAGTCGTACTCTAGACAGGTATGGGCATGGTGCGGGAGGTACCCGTAACATAGCAGGCAACGGCGCTCTCCACCTGGGACTCGAACGCGAACTGGCTACCCTTCACCGCAAGGACGCCGCTCTTGTCTTCTCGTCCTGCTACGTAGCCAATGACGCCACCCTCTCTACCCTTGGGTCCAAATTACCTGGGTGTGTGATGTTCTCTGACCAGAGTAATCATGCATCCATGATTCAGGGTATGCGTCACTCCGGGGCGAAGAGAGTTATCTTCAAACACAATGACCTCGAGGATCTGGAAAACAAATTGAAGATGTACCCGAAGGAGACTCCAAAGCTTATCGCGTTTGAAAGTGTGTACTCTATGTGTGGTAGTATTGGTCCCATTTCGGAAATATGTGATTTGGCACAGAAGTATGGTGCACTGACCTTCCTTGACGAGGTCCGTATGGGTCTTGGTTTTCTCCAAATCCGTGAGCTAATATGATTTCCATCTCAGGTACATGCTGTTGGTTTATACGGACCCCGTGGTGCCGGTGTTGCGGAACACCTTGACTACGAAGCTCAACTGGCCGCTGGCGATAGTCCTGACCCCGTTCCTGGTTCAGTCATGGATCGTATTGATATCATCACTGGTAAATAGCATTGGTTCATATATTCATCTTCAGAATCTCAATCTTCCGTTCCATTTTCACAGGTACTCTCGGTAAATCGTACGGCGCTGTCGGTGGCTACATCGCTGGGTCGGACGACTTCATCGACATGATTCGGTCATATGCTCCTGGTTTCATCTTCACAACGTCTTTGCCTCCAGCTACGGTTGCCGGTGCTCAGGCCAGCATTGCCTACCAAAAGACATATCTCGGTGATCGTCAGCTCAAACAGGTCAACGTCCGGGAAACCAAACGTCGATTTGCTGAGTTGGATATTCCTGTTGTGTGAGTCTCTCTTTCTATTTTCCAGTTTGATATTTTACTGATATGCATTCGGGATTTTCAAAGACCCGGTCCATCACACATCCTCCCCGTCCTCGTCGGTGACGCCGCTCTCGCCAAAGCCGCATCTGACAAGCTCCTGTACGATCACTCCATCTATGTCCAAGCCATCAATTATCCCACCGTTGCTGTTGGCGAAGAACGGCTCCGAATCACTGTCACCCAACGCCACACCGTAGAGCAAATCAACAAACTCGTCTCAGCTGTCGACCAAGTCTTCACGGATCTCAGTATAAACAGGATTAAAGACTGGAAAGCTCTCGGTGGACGTGCGACCGTTGGTGTTCCTGGTCAAGACGAGGTTGTGGAGCCCATCTGGACCAAAGAGCAGCTTGGAGAGAAGACCGGTACTACACCAAAGACACTTAGGGATGGAGAAAAAGATGTGGTTGATGCTCAAGGAGTCTTCGTCGCTAGGAGCAGGTTTGATCATTTACTGGGTTCGATCTCTGGTCCCTTGCGGTCTAGTTATCAGTCTGCTAGCGCTTCTGCATCTTCACCTTCGCCTGTGCCAAAGGCTATCAAGACTGGAACGACACCGCTGGACTTTGCTCAGACTACGGATATCCCAGTTGCTCCGCCCAAGCTCAGTGCAGTTGCATAGATTGAATTGACCCCCTTACATTCGTTCGTTTCGATTTTTCTGTTATCATCATTTGCTCCAAGTGCTGTCAAATTTGGGCAGGAAAAGTTAAACTTGAGGTTTGAATTTCAAGGTAGTACATAAATACCTGACGTACTCTGTGATGTACTTCGAGCAAAGTTGAATGATAAATTGTGAATGGCTGTTATGTTGATACTCTTGAGATAACAATAGCCCTATCTGAGCAGTTGCATAAGCATTAATGGGGTAGTGGTAACCTGGGTCGTTGCCACTTGCGGCAGTGTCGACCCGCCGGGGGTTCGATTCCCTCTTAATGCAGAGGTGATCTTTTTGGATGTAGGTAGTAATACCACTTCAATAATGTTCTTAATATATGTTGAGAAATAGACATGGTGTTGCAAGTAGAGTAGGAGAAGACGGGAGATATTGGGACAATATATTAAAATGGCTCATTTGCGTTAAACTCTCCACCGCTTCCGCCCAACGCCAATTGTACTCTCCCAATTCACAATATGACCTAACAACTCCGCATTCTCTCTAGCCGTCGCCCCACTCACTCCCCCCGAATCAATCTCGGGATCCTCGGTATATTCTGTTGCCAACAGAAGATTTTTGAGGGACTCCTGTACTAAAGCGGCTGTGTGAAGTTTCTTTTCCATTTGAAGTTGGTTTTGCGATTTTGGCTTGGCGGGGTCGGAGGAAGAAGTGTTGTGTGATTGAGAGGTAGTACGGCGTGTTGTGACCTGCATAACGGGTCAATGATTTGAACAGAGCACGTGAAAAGAGAGAAGAGAATGCTTGTTGTTCAGAAAAGCGGGAAGGACTTACTGGTGTTTGGAGATACGTATGTTTCGGGGGCAACCCAGGTAGATCCCCTGGGAGATTACGAAGAGTGGAGGCTGGTATTGAACGTAGTTTCGTGCTAGTCCCAGGAGGCATACCGGCTCCTCCATTTTGATTGAGTGTCAGCGAAGGAGGAGCGAGTGAAAGATGGGTTGGATGTGCCGTCGGCGGTATCTGAGACACCTGTTGGGATTGTACCGTGGCTGAGGTTGCGATAAGAGCTGCAGATGGTACCACGTTATCTTCCATGTCCATATCGTCATCGGAAGATAGTAATTCTGGTGTTGGTGAACGTGTAGGATACGGGATGAGTGATGGTGCGGACGAATATGACTTTTTCTCTCCTTCTGTCGTTGTGCTTTTCCCTTTCCCCTTCGCGTCTTTTGCTGCCTTTCTCCTCTCCCTTTTCCTCAGCCATTTCGCCAATGTCTCCGGACCAACCTCATAGGCCCACTCCCTATCAAGTTCTTCCGTCGCAAGAAGTAAATCAGTGGCGATAGGCCCTGACCTATTTGCAAGGTTGGAGTATTGGTGTGCGAGGGTGTATAGGGACTGGACAACTAGATTAGAAAATGAATGTTAATACAAGTGGAAGCAGCAAGTTCGTGTACGATAAGAGAGTCCACTCACATCCAACAACCTCCTGCTCAAGCACATACAACGCCTCTGGTTTGGCACCACTAAACCCTGCATTCCTCAACTCACTCGCCGCTAGTCTCTGTATGGCTTGACTTGCCTCTCGACCAGTTACTGATGAAGAAACAGGCGATGAAGGGCGTAGGGTTCCAGAAGGAGTTTTGTGTGTTCCTGTGACGCCTGTGGAACTAGGAGTGATACCCAAGTTTGCGGTACCCGGCACAGCAGGTAGTCCAGGAGCTCCGAGACCATATGAAGCAGTGTAAGTTGTAGGGAAGGAATATGCGGTTGTATTTGAGTACGAGCCATATGGGTTAGAAATTGGATTGGGAGTCGAAGCGTTTCCAGCATAATGTGCAAGATACTGAGTAGTCGTTGCTGAAGGTGTGTAGTGAGTTGTCGATGTTATCGCTGGAGATGTTATTGCTGGGGATGTGATCGCTGGGCTTGCAGCCGAGGCGGGGTAATATGCTTGGGGATAATAATTTGGTATGCTCGTCGCAGACGATATCTGTGGAATGGGTGTAGACATCGCTGCCCTTGGCCAGAAACGCGTAGCCAATTAAAATCAAGCTGTATTTCGGTTGATCCGAAGGACAATCTTGCTGTGAGTAAGATTGGAGCAGAGTTCTACACCAGATGATGGTGTGGTCAAAAAGATCACTTCGAGTATTAGCGCGCGCCAACGTGCTTCCCGGGGTCTTTGTACTTCCAACTTTTTTCGTCATTGTATGGTGCATGATATCAACATTGGTAGGAGTTATATTTTACGATATTGGGATAATCATTGATGGATGTACAGAGTAGTGAGTTACAGCTATATTCCGAATGACGGTACGAAAGCTTCCATGTAACTTCGATAATATCAGTTATCATCAGTTATTTCCTAACGATCTGGCCTCGAGAGGTTTATCTTGGTAAGAGGACATCAATGCCTTCAAACCTGAGTAGCTGATATAACCGTTTAAAGTATTCCATTCGTATGCCTTGATTTGAACACGCCAGCAGGCCAGAACTTCAGTGGAGAGCAAGGCGTGAGTTGAAGGCAGTATAAAGCCATATCTGAAGGGAACTTTGAAACCGGCAGGACCGATAACGCTGGGTGAAAAGAGTCGGTAAAGAGATCTGCTTTGTCTTTGTGCACCGCATCGTTGGTTTCGCTGATCCATTTGTCAACAGCTTGTGGTTCGACAGCAGGGACTCCAAGTCTCTCGTAGCTACAACTTGCAAGGCAAAGCATGATGTGGAATAAGGACTCCAGATCGTGGCGACAGAGATATTCGCTGTTCCATTTGGGGTTGAATAAGTCGACAGGTACCAGTGCGAAAGTCAGATGTGGGACCCTTGCACGGGAGGAAAGATCGAAGTCATCCAAGGCTCCCTCAACATAATATTAGGCCAAGCTGAGATCTTTTGGAAGAGCAAGCCAATGAATTTTGTAGAATATCATAAAACACTTGAGAGAAGTTAAGTAGTGATTCAGTACAAGTTAGTGGTCACGGCACATCAGGTTCCTCGTAGTGGCAGGTGAGGCAGAGAATGATGAAAAACAAGGATTCAAGATCATGGCGATAAAGATGTCTAACCCTTCCAGAGGGGGTTTAGTAAGTCAGGGGACATGAACGGCCTGGTTCCGGTACACTCGTTAAAAGTTGGTCCTCCATCCATATCGCGAGCAAAGGAAGGAAAGATCGAAATCATTTGTAACACCGTAGACCTTGCCCTTTATACGTCGAAACATAATATTGTCAATGCTGAGATCGCGATGCAGCACATGCAGCACATCCGTACAGCCATTGGGAACTTGGAAGTAACATTACGTTTGAATGCAGTAAAAGAGTGGTACAAAAGAAACTGGCTACGTAGAACAATGAGCCAATGGCCCATGCAGTGGGAGTCGGGAGAGCGCAGTGGAAACAGAAATTGCTAAAGGACTAAAATAGTTGTGATAAGCAGACAACACCAATTTATCTGATGGCTCCAGATCTTGTTGGACAATAATAAGACAGAACAGTGAGAATGAAAGATGAGTTTCAGTGTAGATGTTCCGTGGAAAAGAAGTTCAGATTGTCTACCGTTGCCGGATAGTTCATGGTCAACGTCATTTTTCGTTTTTCGTTTTTCGTTTTTCGTTTTTCTCGATTTTTTGGATTTTGCCGTTGTTTTATTTTGCTCGGTAGGGTCGGTAGCTCACCACGCTCATAATTGCTAGGCCCTGTGTTCACGCTGTTAGACCCAACTTCCAATTCATGTATGTTTGAGCTATCTGTATCCTCTGTACAATATCAATTACTCTTTTCTTGCTGCTTCTACTGCCCTGCATTAATGCGTTGAAACCATCAAACGTCAACAACGCTGTGAAAACGATTGGAATCCAGTCTCCTCCCAATTCTAGTGATAATTCAACCTTGGAATGGTCCCCTGCA